GAGAAATTACGGTAGCAAATCACCCGGTTCTTTACGACCAGTAACTATTTACCGGGATACAAACCGGAGGAACCAGGCATGGAGGGAGGTGGCAGAGACAGTGGGTGAAACTGGTGGGTTTTCGCCTGTTTGGGGATTTTATATCCAGTTTACTTTGTTTTAACATTGATATTGCTTTGTATGTCGGGGGCGGGAGATTCATGTGATTGGTTGTTGGTCGCAAAAAATCCCCAAGCTTTCAGACACGCCCACCTCCAAGATTTTCAAGATTTTTTCAAAGCTGTTGTGTGGACGGGCCGTAAGTGTATTGTATGTATATACAGTATGTATGTTGATATGTATGCATATGTACATGTGTAGACATTTGCTATTTCAAAGAACCCCTGTGTACATTTTCGTTTTTATTTTTACTAATTTTGTTTGCTATTTCATTTGTCACTTTCGGGTCTCAAAAAATATATGATTTGAAAAACTGTACTTGTATTATAATGTGACCCCAAATAAATAAATAATAATAACAAAATAAAAAAACTGATATTGATGAAACTGATCTGCTCGACTGTCTCTCAAATTGTAATGACTGTATGTATTACTTAACAGACTGTACGTGGTTTGTCTTGTTTGTCATGTTTTGCTTTTTGTCTTTTGTTTATGTATGTCTGTAAGTTGTTGCTATTGTCTGGACCCCCTTGAAAACGAGATGGTGCATCTCAAGGGGTTTATCCCAATAAATAAAATGTCTATATACACGCCGTAGTTGTGTATATGTTATGACAATAAACCGTTGAATCTTGAAGGTAGTTTGGTGGCTAAAGGAGCAGACATATTGCAGACGAGGAACATCATATTTGAGTTGCTTGGTACAGTTTTGCTTTGAATTAAAAATGCTCTGCCTGTTGCATAATGTATTAGTATCATGAGCCTCTGGTAAAATGTGCAAGATTACATTTAATTATAAAGTCAACAAAAAGGAAATAAGGTCAAACAATCCTATTTTTATCAAGGTCTGCTTTTCTTGTCTGGTGTTTTGTGTTCAAGTAAGATGTGAAAATGAGAGGTTAGCATCTGCCATTATTATGAATGTGTGCATCTAAACTATAGACCGTTACATGATTAAGACACACGTGGTGGGACTTCTCTTCAACGATAAACTGCTTATACTCAACAACAAGTCCCTTAACACATCTTTAGGTTGAACATTTGGAATCAATATCGCTGTGTTAACACTTCAGCACCAGTGATAAGTTAATACAGCAGTTGATTGCGCAGGTACTTCAAATCTCAGCATCATGAGTGTCAAATCTTAAGTGTAGTCTTAGGTTTTCTTTAAGGGGGCAGTTTGACTTTTTGGAAGAACCCTGATTTGTTTCCTTGCATGAAAAGATTGATACAAGTCTGAAGTCTCCGAAGAAACTATAGTCAGGAAGAAATTAGCTTAGCTTAGCATAAAGGCTAAAATAAGTGAGAGAAGTAGCCTACTTGGCAAATTACAAAGTTCAAAAATAAGATACACATCACAACTTAACCCCAATAATAAACACCTTGAATTGACTTTACCTAATCAACCTGGGTCAACAAGTTAATCTGTACTTTTAGGGAGGGTTATGTGCTGTAATCTTTTCTCTCTCTGCGCTAGGATAATAGCTACAGCAAACATTCAATATGTGCTGGTAGGAATATTTCTTAACTTTGGAGAGAGTCAGGTTTGTTTCCCCACTGATGACAGTCTTTCTGCTACGCTAAGAAATATCATTTGCTAACATTAGCTTAACATTGATCATATATTAAGCTAGAAGTCTAATAAGCGTATCTCTCATAAGCAGGAAACTTTCCCGTTGATGGTTACCTCTTCCAGTCGGCGCCGCTGCTCCTTCTGCTCCTCGATGCGTTTCTGCCGGTCGTGCAGCAGTTGCCTCTTGTGTTCCTCGGGGTCCCGGCGCTGAGCGGCCAGCTGGGCCTGCTGCCTCTTGTGAGCCTCCGAGCGCTCCTTGTTCTCCACCTGCAGGCGCTGGAAGTCCCGCCTCAACGTGGACTCGCCCGGCACATTGAGGATTGAACTGCTGGATCACAATTGAGGAGATGAGGAAACATTTTTTTTGGGAGGGGGGCGGGAAATCAGTCACACAAGTCAAGGATTCATACGACATGGACAGAGAATATAAATGTAAATTACCTTGACTCTCGGTCTTCTCCTCCTCGATTTTCCTCATCTTCATCACTACCACTGTACTCATACTCTGTTTCTTCTACAAAGAGAATGAGCATAAAAGGAGGTCAAATATCACACTGTGTTGCAGCAAACATACAAAATACTTCAGGAGATCACTCTCTATTAAGCATCTAACAATCTTCATGTGTGACCCTAACCCTAATCACACTACATTGTTCGGAGTTCAATAAATCTCAATAAGTACTCTGAGGATGTCAGCCTCTCCACAAACTATTCAAACATTAAAGTGACACAACAGTGAATACAAAGAACAGCAGGTTGATTATGCAACAGGGAAAAAGCAAAGACAGTGTTCCTGGTAACGTTCCCTGGGTAACACCCATTTCAATTGAAGATTCAACTTTATCGTCATTACGTAGTACAGGTACTATGTAACGAAACGGTTTCTCTGCATTTGACCCATCCTAGTGTTGGAAGCAGTGGGCTGTCATTATCTATGGCGCCCGGGGAAATCTTGTTAAATCTGATCTGCTTACCTTTCTCCCCCCTCTTCTTGCGCGTGCGGTCGATATGGTCTTTGAGCTGGATTCGGACCTGCCTCTCGGTGGGCTGGTCCCGGATGAAGGAGTGTTTGAGGAGCTGCTCTGTGGACGGCCGGCTGTTGTACGTCTTAACGAGACACCCCTCTATAAAGTCAAGGAACTTCTTGGACCTGGGAGGAATGGGGAGGTTAGAGGACGGGAAACCATTGAGGGAGAGTCGGGAGGGGAGGCATCGAGCAGCTGTAACTCCCCAAGTTTCACACTGTACCTTGTGCATTTACATTTAAATTGAATAATGAAATTACTTTGCACACTTAAACTGTAAACCGACAAATATGTATATTTATATTGTGTACTTGTTAAAGATACTGTATAGATATACATCTTGCACTGACAATATGTTATGTTATTGTTCTGTTCATAGGTATATATTTACTGTTTATGTTTGTTTATATTCGATTGTTATTTCATATGCTATGCCTTGTTTACATGTTGCTGTGACAAAGAAATTGGGATTAATAAAGTAAGCTAATTTCATCAATAAGAGAGATTTTTTTGCCAGCCTTATCTGGGGAGGCATTTCTAAGCATCTCCTTTTCTTACACGAGTGTGAACTAAAGCGATTAAGATTCTCAGTTAATGCTCACAGTCTTAAAAGGTAAACATGTTTACACTGGCCCCGTCTCATTGCACATAACCAGTTCGAGCCACTACTTCACTACGAAATGCTACTTTACTTTCACATAATCATTACAAAAAACAATTCATCGTACTTCAATAATCATCCAATGAAAACTACCGGTCAAATGAGGTCAATATCGTTCATGGGCAGTAATCACGAGTTGATGAGTTCATTGTAATTGTGTCCATCCCTTAATAATGTTTTGGTATTTGAATAATGGTCCATCTGGGTCACACGATATTGACTGGCAGCTTTCAAAGATTGAAGCCAAAGAACATTATGAAAGAAGCATTGCATTCTGGGGCCGTCAACTCTGCTAAGTGGATCCTTTAACGAGCAGCAGGAAGAGTAATAGGAACATTAAAAAAAAAAACAGGGTAGGAGAAAGAAAATGGGAAATTAGTTTACACACTTTGGGCTTCTCGTCTTGCTCACAGTCATATTGTTTCAATACTGGGACATAAAGTCTAACACTTTGAAATGAGACTGATTCCTAAAGTGTGTTTTCCCAATGTCGGTACAAATGCACACATATTGTCCTGTAATTGAGTCTCTTCTAGAAGCAGGATTTACAAGCAGAATGTATCCCTTATAGTGTTGTTCCTGTAAGTGTGTTTATACACATTTAACAAGGTTATTGTGGCACTGCAGAAACCTGCTTTCTCAAAGTAAACAGACTAGTCTCGTTGCTGCAGTTCTTGTGTAGTAAGCCATAACCTGCATTGATGATATTTAATTTGCCTTTGGAAACAAGTTGAGGCTTTCCCACACGCCTGACATCATATGATTGATATGTAAATAGCACAGCAGGAGGGTTTGATAACTCACCATTTTTTGGACTTGAGTTTTGGAGGGGGATTCCTGGGTATCAGGAAGAGGGCTCTCATCGGGTGCATGTCACACAAGGCTGCAGAAATCATCATAAATAAGGATTATTGTGTTAGACAGAATATCGTATACTTCCACACCTGGTAGTTTGTAAATAAAACTAGCCACCAGTACACATTATCATCCTCAAACAAGATTACAGCTGCTGTTAACCAATGTTCCCTGGCGCCTGAGGCTTGTTGTTGCATTGTAAGAGCAAGGACTGTGAGTCACTGTGTTCCCAGCGTAGGTAGCTAAACCTGACTGGTTAGCTTTACACTTTCACAGTCAGTAGGCTTTTACATGGCAGTGTTATGGACACATGCATTTCGAATGAGACGAGAAGAGCATTTCATTTCAGCTTTTTTTAAGTGTGAACAAACGGAAGACGTATAGACGGCATCTGCTAACACAGCAAGTGAACAGAGTGCTGAAAAGTGTGTGAGAAGATGCTCAATAATTCATTTGTTAAACAATTATCCGACAGTAACCCTGTAAGGCAAATGAATACATTACTGTAACGAGCACAATGATGCATCTCCATGAAACAGCGACACAAACCTATACCACTCTAATATCAGTCCTACCGCACGTATTCTGTAGATTAACTGACTGTAGGTCATGTGATCAAAATCAATGTTCTATGGAATAGTTTTACTACCAATGACAATTGCATGTTCATAGAAAGTAAAAAATCTGTTAGAGGTTCTTTAAATGTGGTTATTATTGTCAAAGAACCACGGTTGCAACTCATTTTATCAGAGATTAAAGGGGACCCATTATACAATTTTTTTTTATATAGTGTTATATAGGTTTTTGTGCATGTAAATGGTCTGCAAAGGTTACCAAGTCCAGAGGGAGTTTATATCCCACACACTTCCTTCCTTCCCCCCCGCCCCTGCCTGAAACACCTCCATTGGACTCCTTCGTTTACTTCCGTAACATAGTGACATCACTACGTAACACTACAGCTTCTGTTGGCTAGCGCTCCAACACATTGTAGGTGACGGGCGTGTGGCGCAGTGGGTTGTGCGTATATGTGTTCGGATCAGTGGGTCGCAGGTTCAAACCCCACTGCAGTCAGCATGTCGTTGTGTCCCTGAGACACTTCACCCCAAATTTCTCCTGTGGGGATTGCCCACAGTATTGAGTATGTAAGTCGCTTTGGATAAAAGCGTCTAACAAGTATCATCTAAGGGGCGGGACATCTCTTAGCGGTTTACCAATCCAAACAGAGCTGGACAAAAAGTCTAAAAACAAGAAATACAGCAACTTTACCCCTGGTGGTGAATAATAAATAAATAATACAAATCATTCTGTAATGAAGCTGATGGAGTGAGTCAGAACACACTGCATGATTTGCAACGGTACATCAACAACAGCTTGACATTTGGCCTGTTCGCCTTATGTCACATGCAGCAGCAGTAACAAGGAGCACTGTGATCTTCCTCAGTGATGTGAAACACAAAACAAAAAGCTTTCAGAGAACATCTAACATGTTGTTTGTGCCTGTGGTACAAATCTGTTTTGAATACGAAAACAAGACTCTAAATTAGAAACTAAATAATTTGTGTCTTGATGTGTTTATTTCCACATTCAAAAGTTCAATTAGCTTGATAGAATTCTTCTCATCCTCATTAAAAATCTATAATCCATGAGTATGGAAATATGGTTAATTTCAAAAGTTTAACACAAGTTGTATTCTACTCACTGAAATGAGCAAATGAGGCATTACGTTTCCATCTGGGGAGACTTTGTATAATGTTTTATTTAGTAGAGCTCAGTTTTGGCCAACAAGAGGCTGGCTTTAGACACTGCAGAGCTCATACAACAGCAGCCCCATGACGCCAGTGTTATCTAACTGCTGGGAAAAAGAGATAACTGGTTTCTCTGTTAACTAAAAGATACTGTAGATGGAAGATGTGTTGAGTGCTATTTAGAAAACAGGGAAAACAGGAAGGAATTCAAAAATGTAGGAACAAGCAACAACAGGAAAAGCTAATCATTATTGTAGTGGCCTGATCATTAAAACAATCGTGTGTTCTTCTGGGCGAATAATAAAACACACAACACAGCCTTACCTTTTATTCTATTAACAACCAACATCCCAATTAGAGTTATTACCTCACAGGTTTTATAAAAATAGTTGTCTTTTCTGCTGATGATTTGGACCGTACAAAGAAGGCTTTTTTAAAATATTATTCCTTGTTGGTACTTGCTTTTACATTTCAGATTCTTATCTGTTAATCCTGTCTATCTTGTACTGCTTTAGTGCCAAATGCAACACCAAGTAAACCTAAACACAGCATGCAATTCAAATTTGATTTAGGTAGGGTTATAATAGTTGCATTTAACCAACAAACTGGTCAATATGGCAGAATAGTAGAAATGATGTTAAGTCATTGTTTAACATGGACCTTATTTGACTCGTTCATTTTTGTTTGCTTTGTTTAGGTGCGATTTTTTTTATTTTTGTCCAGGGTTGACAGCAAATCTCCAGGCAGACAGATCTCCACGCTGAGCAGATCAGAGAGATGTGCGATCAGCCTCCGCAGGCCGCCTGCCAGCTCACGACTACACTACCTTGATTACAGTGAGTCAGCTGTCCATCTGAAGGCACAGACAGCCAGGCCAAATATGGAAGACAGAGTCATTCGTGAGGACGTTGAGAATGGGCCTCGAGACGATGAGAGATAATCTGCTGCCGAGTGCACGGAAATGCATGATTCAACCAAATAAGGTTGCAATGGTATGAGATGTCCACAAATATATCGGGGGGTTAAACCTATACAGCCCTACAACCAAGAACAAGTTAAAAAAACATAATGAAAGGGCACACTTACGAGGAGCTCCCTCTGCCATCTCAATGGCTGTGATCCCCAAGGACCAGATATCACTCTGTAACACACAGGGGATCAGGTTAGCCTCCATCTTTCATCTGCTCTCACGACATAATGCTCACACACACACACACACAGTGCTGCTCATACCCTGTAGTCATAGGTGGAGTCAGGGTTCTCATCGCAGGCAATAACCTCAGGAGCCATCCAGTAAGGCGTGCCGATGAAAGTGTTCCTACGACCAACAGTCCTGTCCAACTGAGCACTCACACCAAAATCAACTGGACAAAGGAGTCAGAGAGAAGAGTGTGTGAGACGACGGAGGACATCATTAGCTTATTTTCATGTTAAAGCATTCAACGTACCAAGTTTGACCTCTGCGTTCTCCGTCAGCAGCACGTTCTGCCCCTTGATGTCTCTGTGGATCACTTTATGGGCGTGCAGGTGAGAAAGGCCCTGTGTGCAGAAAAAGGAGTCAGAATTGGTCAGCACTGAGTACAGCTGCTGCACATTTGCTTTGTCTTGTTTGCACTGTGGGTTCTTACCCGTAGGATCTCTCTACAGATGTAAGAAATCCAGTCCTCCTTCAGAGAGCTGCCCTTAGTGTTCTTCACCAGGTCGGTCACTGATCCCGCCCCGCAGAACTCCATCACCAGCTGCATGCAGAACAAATTCAAACTCAGTGAGCACCATCAAAGAGGCACACAGCTTTTAGATCATCAGTTAGGAGTGTATACAGACCCAGAGTTGGTCATCGTGTCCCGGTGGACTCTTCTTGACAAAGGCACCGTAGTACGTGGCTATGTTGCGGTGGTGGCTGTATTTTTTCAGCATGTTGATTTCTGCTTTGATCTCCTCCTCTTCCTCCTCGGTGACATCCATCACCTTGATGGCAGCCAGCTGGCCCGTCTTCACATGACGGCCCTGACAAGTTGGATCAGCAACACAGTGGTCAGTAAAATGTGGGACTCCATGTTCCTGATACACTTAAAGTTAAAAAGGTAGGGTAGGTAAGAATGGAGAAACCAGCTCGAGTGCGCTAGAATTTGAAAGTACATTTAATATATTCATAGCTATCGGGATGTTAAGAGCATTCCATGGAATATAACAAAAAGTGTTTCTGAAGTGAATTACCTACCCCACCTTTAAGTGTGGCTAATTGCTTCGTCACACCATTTTGGCATTCTTATTAAGTCTGTTATCTTTCTGCCACTTTCTTTTAACAACTTATGAATAACATAGACATAGCAGGACGTTTAATCTGCTGTGATCTGGGAGAAATGTAACAGAAAGTGGGCACTAGAGTAGTCTTAAAGCAACTCATCGTATAAGTGAAAGATAATTTGTTGCATAGAGTCACACATTGTTCAGGTGTGATATCTCACCTTGTACACCTGTCCATATGTCCCATTGCCGACGACCTCGACCAGCTCGAAGATCCCTGCAGGATCCTATGGGAGACATGAGCATATTTATATAGTCAAACAACATGTATTTCAAAAAGAGCAAATACATCAGGGCAGGGGTTACCAAAGTAGTAGGGGTGGCAGAGGCATGAAAATGAGGGGGGGGGGGCGAGAGACCAGGAGGAAAAATGGTTATAAAAATATATATATATCAAAAAAAATAAATAAATCATAATTTCAAAGATTATTGATTCGAAAATAATATGATACAGTACTATTACGTCTGGGTCTCTGTGTTTCATTAAAGCTCGGCTCTGTACGTGTGTGAAACGAGCCATTTTGTGTGCGTGCGCGAGCGAGAGAGAGCGCACCGCTACCGGAGATCGTTGTTGTTAGCTTCTGGTGCTAGCGAACTACGCTAACGGATATAAGGAGTTTTTTCAACAACAAAGTGGAGGAGAGTCCTTTCCTGTCAGACTGAGAGGCTCAGTGAGCTAAAGGACTCTCTCACGGCCCGTCCACACTACAGCTTCGACAGCTTCAAAATAGGTTTCCAACGCGTCTGAATAGGGTGACGTTACGTTGCCTCGCTTTTCGCCGAACTGAATTGTTGGTAGCAGAGCGGAGCTTTCCTGGCGTTTCAGGCTGCAAAAGTTGAGCATTGTTCAACTTTTGAAGCTTCTGAAGCTTTCGGTGGAAGCGTCAGCCAATCAAATCATATGCCAATACAAGCTCTAGCCAATCAAACAGCTGCTTGTGTGTCAGGGGCGGGAGATTCATGTGATTGGTTGTTGGTCGAGCTTCAGACACGCCCGCCGGCAAGCTTTTTTTTAAGCTGTAGTGTGGACAGGCCGAACGGTACGTCCACACAGCAGCTTTAAAAAAAATTCCAACGCTTCCAACGCTTCTCTGCCCATTGACTTTAAATGGGAGTGACGTCACTTTGCCTCG